AATTAATACTAAGCCATTATATTATAGTCTTTTATCAGTTTTATGTAATTTAGACTTCTATCAATTAATATTATTAGTAAATATGTAGTTCCTTTAATTTATATAATAACATTAATTTTTAATCTATCATATATTTTTTAAATTTTTATTCCTTAATTAGATATTTCTAATCCATTATTGTTGATATTTTTTACTAGCATCAACTTAGACTGTTTTTAGATGTCAAAATGGGACAATAAACTTTAAATTGTGAGTTATATTTATATATTTTAATGAAATAATATCAAACAATTACTCTTTTCTTTGCCAAGTTTAGAAATTCCAGCCTTTTTATGATTTTGAAATTTTGACGCGTGTTTTGCCATTTTGAAACTTTGACAGTGTTTTTTTAAAAATTTGAAATTTTAAGTTGGGTGCTTTAATTTCCATCATGTGTTGGCAGTAAGTTTTCAAATATTAGGATATTTCTTGCAACTCTAAAATTTTGAGGGTGATTTTTACAATTATTAAAACATTGGGTTGTTTTTTACAAAATTTAAAATTTTAACGCTCTGATGATAATTTTTAAATTTTGATGTGTACTGGTTATAAGTTTTACAATTTTAGGGTTTTTTGGGATTTTTAACTTTTAAGGGAGTTTTTACAATTTTTATAACTTTTGAGGTTCTTTTGTAATTTTTAAATTTTTAAGTGCCTGATGGTAATCCCTTAAATTCATCTATGTTGTATGCAAGTTTGATAATTTCAATATTTCAAGGTGTTTTTTGTGATTTAAACTTTTAAGGTTGTTTCTATAGTTTTTGAAATATTGAGGGTGTTAATTAAAATTTTAAAATTCATTGAGAGCTATTGTTAATTTCAAGATTCTATGTTTGTTATTTTAAGTTTTAAAAAGTCATGGTGTTTTATGTAATTTTAAACTTTTGAGGATATTTGGTGTAATTTTTGAAACTTTTTGGGCTGTTTTGAAATACTTCATATAATATAATATGTTACTATGTATGATTTTTTAATCTTATTTTTTAATTTGTTGTGTTATACGTAGTTCACGTTGGTTTAGTATAGGATATAATTAGTATTAGAATAGATTAAGATTTAAATGAACTATTCAAAATAGTTTTTCATGTATATTAGTAATCTTACTTTTTTTAATTGTGGAGGTATAGGTAGTTCACGTGGGATTATAAGATATAATTTTAATTAGGATAAATTTAAACTTACAAGAAATATTTAATATAGTGAAGGGTAATATTGACTATAAAAAGCTTTTCTCGAACTCGTGCTTTTAAAGGGGGGTATGATTATATAAAAATGGATAAATACCAATCTTATTCAATTTTGAGGTATGTCAACACACAAATTGAACTTTTTTTGACCTACAATTCAACATACATACAAATTGTAGCCAATTAGGTCATTAGATTTCATGATTAAATCAACATAAAGTAAAAAAAATTGTGAAATTTGTGAATTAAGAATATTTAGGATATTGCAAAATCTAATTGTTAAAATTAACATGATAACATTATACATAATATATCTTGAATAATCCACATTTAAATCCTGAGATGATTATTGTATTATTTTTTGAATCCTTGAAAGAAATGTAATAGGCATTCTGAAAGGTGATCCAAAGGAAAGGTTAATAAATAAATCATTCAGAATATTAATTTTGTGGTTTTTCCTTAAAATTTAACTTAACTGAATTATAATCTATGAGATGCCAAAGAGAAATAAAATAATTAGAAAATAATTTTTCTGATACAAAAATCAAAGACAAAACTCAAATCAAAATGAAAATTTAAATTCAAAAGTACCTTAATTTTCTTTAGTAGATAATATCCTTTCATTCTAGGTATACAATAGATAGTAATCACCAAATTCACATCTATTTCCTAAAAAAATAACAAAGAAAACCATTTAAACTTCATCCCAAATAAAATAAAAAATTTAAAAACTATAAATAATATCTCACATTTCGTTTCAAAGATTTGCTTCAGAATCTACTATTAACTTAACCATCATCATAAAAATCCATTAAAAGCAAAATTATAGAGAAAAAAATAGAAATTGTTAACTCAATTGTAATATACCATAATAAGGTAAGGTCTTGAGCAGCCTCTCAATGAACGTTCGATTAATGAATACATCTTTAACAGCTAAAACATGAAAGTTAGCCACTGTAACAAGTATCATTAAGCTTATATTCAGTGAGAGAAAAGATGAAGGCATGCATATTTCTATATATTGTTATCACATAGATAAATATTTAAAATAAATATATTAACACTTAAAAGGGCTATTGACTAAACAATTATTAGCAAAAATTTACAGAATATACATAATATTACTTTATTTATTCGGGTAATATTCACATGGGTCGGATTTGCCTTGTGACTCCGGTCTTGGCCCCTAACATTCTAATTAACATCCAAACAAATATATCCAATTAGAGAGAATAACAAAAAAAAAACAACATAAACTTCTATTAATATTTAAAAAGATGAAATTGTTTACTAATTGTTTTCTAATAAAAGCCAATTGTCAAAATACATCGATCGAACAAACATCACAGAAAAAATTGTGTTCAATTAACTAAGAAGAAACCCCCAAAATTATCTAAGAATTTTTATGTTAGACATACATTCTAAAATCATAAGGTAAGAAATTAGACAACACAACTGCTCTTAAGAACATATGAAAGTACTTAAACAAATTTTTTTGAATAACTAGAATATTTAGAAAAACACAAAATGTTATCTACAAATAATAAAATAAATTTGCAAAAAAAAGAAAGAATAATTTATCATATTCAGAAAAATAGTTAATTTACTTGGGGTCAATTGAAATATTGCCGAATTGGATTACAAAGAAACATAGCTTATAGGCGAAAATTATGAATACACTTTTCTTTTAATGATATACATATTTATATATAAAATTACATCTTATAGATTAATACTCTAGAGTAGCAAAATATGTCAAATCTATCAGAGTTATAATAGGAGACGGCTCTAAATTTCTGTATTGAAGAAAAAATTTCTTGTAGAGGAAGAAATAATCGGGGATGGAAATATTTAAAAAATAACGCAATATAAAATTAAAGAAATTAATGCAAAATTGTTGGGAAAAGAAAGTGAAAAAGACAGTCATGCAAATATGTAATCTTGAATAAGAAAATTAGGTGACAAATACATCTGAACCAATCTGAAGCTAGGAAAAAGTATTTTTGCGTAGAGGAAGAAATAGTCTGCGATGTAAGTATGTAAAAAAGATAACATAGGAGGAAATTAAAAAAATTACAAATTTAAACAAAAAATGGTGATATGTTGAAATTTCTCACCGAAATTTATGTTTGAGTGAAGAAGACTATCTTGCAAATCTGTAAACATTAAGAAAAGAATTAGGTGACGAATACATTTGAAGCAATATGTCGAAAATATCGCCAAATGTGAATTAAAAAAAAAAAATCTATGACTATGGAATTTCCCACCGAATATTAATGGTCTAGGAAGAAGTTGATGTTCGAAAACTATAATTTTTTATTATTATTGTTGTTTGATTTTTGGTAATCTTGGAATAGGGATGTCACCGAGTTCTTTTGGTAACAAAATATTCGATAATTGATTTTTCCTAGATTTAATGCTATGATGTATGTGTGATTGATGATATGAGAAAGATTTGGGTGGGTTGTTTGAGACGAATGGTTTAGATTTAAAGTTATTTTTAGATTTTGAAATACTTATAGATCGACGGTGCAAAATGATGTACACATGACAAAAATTTGTATAGGAAAAACTTATGTGTCAAGAGTTGTGGAATTCGAGGTCTTTTGATTCCCCTTTACGCCTCGTTTGGTACGCGGGAATGAGGAGGAATGGAATGCAATTCCCACTTCCCATTCCCTCATACCAAACACACCTATATTTTAGATATTGGAATGACCATTCCCTAGGAATGATCATTCCCACTATTTGTGGGAATGAGCATTCCAAGTGAGAAGATAAGGAATGGTCATTCCCATTTAAGTGAGAATCAAAAACTAGTTCGGTATTTTTCAATTATATCCATATTAATAATAAAGAATGTTTGGGTGAGGCGCTATGCAAGTGGACAATTTTAGATTGACAATTTAGGCTAGTATATCATTTTGCTATTTCGAAACTTATTATTTTAGTTGGTATTGTTTTATGGATTTTTGCTATTATGAATTGAGTGATTTTGATACTTTATCAAATAAGTTAATTTATATATCTAGAATTGTGGATTGTGGATATCATTCTTTTTTTTGGACCTATGAAAGATACGATAATCTTTTTTTTTCTTTAATTTTTAAGACTAAGAAATAGCGAGTATTGTTTAAAAAATATAAACGAAACATACACCTGATGGATAACACGAACATTAGTATAACACATACCTATTAATATAACATATGTGTATATAAAATTATTTAGTTATTATCATTAATGTTTATTTTTTATCTTATTAAAAATCTATGTTATTGTAAGGGCATTATTAGAAAATGAGATTTCATTCTCACTTGTGTACTAATGATACCAAACATGGGAATGAGAATGAGATTTCCATTCTAGCTTCATTCTACGAACGCACCCAAACAAGAGAATGAGAATGACCATTCCATTCCCACATGCAATCCATTCCATTCCTTCTTCCATTCCATTCCCAAGTCTGTCCATTCCCGCGTACCAAACGAGGCGTTAGGGTATACACTAATAAAGATTTTTGAATAAAAAATATCATACTTTTACCCTTCTAAACTAATGATAAATGTTTAGTTTTGTTGCTTGCTACATATTATTTAGTTTACATATAAGACTCACCCGTGCAAGCACAACCAAAGTCACATTTTAGCAAATTTTCTCGGTAAATTTTCACATTAGCAAATCCTCATTACTCACCCACTAAAAACCTACGAACAAAAAGCTCTCGTATCAACGCTGGTCGCAACGTTAAACCCAGGACAGTGAACACCACCACATCAAATCGATACCCGCAGCGCGCAGCAAATTCCCCAAAACGCAAGCAAAACCAGGCTAATTAATCAAGCAAGCACCGAAACCCCACTTTCTCATTCCTCTCCGAAAAAAAAAGATGCACATAAATCTCTTTTATTGGTAGTCCTCTCTCTCGCGAGGCGCCACTCTCTCACTCTGCGCCGAGCTTCCGTTGCTCCGCCGGACCACCACACCGTTCTCGATCTCAGGTCAGAAGATTTCTCCTTTCTCGTTTTCTCCTCCTCTCTTAATATCACGCTAGAGACTTTAACCTCTTAAAATCGTTGCAGAAAACTCTAAACAATTTCGTTCCGGGGGCAAAAAAACCCTAAACACTTACTCACATGAACGATGAAGAGTCTACTGCGCTCGTCGAGGGAGCAATTGAGTGGGAAAATTCTGACGGCGAGCTAGGGTTTCGAAACCCAAAACGTAAGTTGAAGGGTTCCAAGAAGATGGGCGACGGGATCGAGAAAGGATGCAAGAGGAAATCTATGGCCTCGCTTGAAGCTGGAGCCGAATCGGATGATGAGGCTCTGCCGATTGGATCTCTGTTCAAGAAGAAGGCCAGGGTTGCGAAAAAGGCAAAAGCTTTGGGTTTGGAGATTAGGGTAGACACAGAGAAGGAAAACCCTAGGGCTGAGGAGAAGGTGGATTCAGGGGAATTGGGGGATACATTGGCTAGCTTTAGGAAGAGGTTGAAAGGGCCGAGAAAGCTTAAGGATGTGGCTGGTGATGGATCTGATAGCCCTAGGGATTCCGAGGTCAAGAGGTCGTGGCTGGGGTCGGGCATGAAGACCCAGAAGAAGGGGATTTTGGACGCAGATGATTCACTGTTTGCCTTTATTCGAAAGGCTCAATCTGCATCGGGAAGGAAATCACGGTTAGGGTCTAATCAGAAGAAGCATGTTAAAGAAGCTCCAAGCAACGGTGATGGGTTGGAGGAAAGCTTTGATAGGGTTTCAAATGGATCTTCATTGCCATTGCTTGCTTCTGATGGGATACATCAGAGTAATGTAGGTCATCGACAAGGTAGGAAGCCTCGTGATGTTTTGGTTGTAGAGGAGAAAGTGGCTGATGATAGAATCGATGAAGTTTTGGATTGGAATGTTGATGGGAGATTGGGGAATGTTGATGGGAGATTGGGGGATGGGCTGGGGGATTTTGGGAAAAGTCGATCATCTTCAAGTAGAAAAGGTAGGGCTAATGTTCAAGAATCTATTAGAGTATCAAGCCGAGCTTCTTATACAAAATCCAGAGGGTCAGATTGTGGTAGTGTTGATGAAGATGGAGCTGCTAATCTAAACCAAAATTATACTGAGGATGTGCTGCCTCACCAAAACAAAGAGGAGTTACAATCATTGGAGGACGGTTTGAAACATTGCTCCAATGGGAAAAGGAGTAAATCAGCGCAGGAAGATAATGATTTATCCATGAATGATTCTGATCGTGGAGAGAAAATTGATTACGTAGAGCTGAAGGTTGAAGATATAACTGAAAACCATGCGACAAGGTCATCACCGTTGAAGGATGCAATGAGGAAACGTTCTAAGGGCAACTGTGTTCTACATCAAAACCTATGTTTTGCAGGGCCACTTGAGATGTCAGAGGAACCTCAGATAAATCCTCCTTCTACAATGCAGATAAAAGAAGTTTCAGAGTCTGTCTGTGATTACCAGTTGAATGCATATTGCTCATCAACTCAAAATGAGAACACTGATGTGAACAATGAATACCCAAACTTACCTTCAGAGGAGGCATTTGAAAAGTTGTATGCTCATTCTGAGAAACTGTCATCTGTTTCCGAAAGAAATCTGACAGAGCAAATTGAAGGATCTTGTGAACCATCAAAGTGGTCTCCTGAGATGTTTAAGGCTTCTGTCCCTTCTTCCCTTGATGAGAACTCGCAGTCTGTTGTACCAAATCAAGCAGCTACTATTTCAGGTGCCCCTGATGGACTCAATGAGCTATCTAATGGTCAAGTTTTCTCCATGACTCGCCATGGTGGCAATGAAGATATTCAGAAAGAGATTGATTGTTTGGATAAACAGCGTAAAGATGGTATGGTGTGTGCTAAATCTCCATTGAGGACATCCAATGTGTGGGTGGAAGTGAATTTGGGATCTGTTTGTGGACTACCTCAATCTTCAGTAAGAGATTTGTTAGCTGTGCCTGACCAAGTCACTAGACGATCAAACATCTTGTCTGCTTTCAACTGCGACAGATTATCCACCTCTAGTGACTCATTAAACCAATTTGTACAAGGGACGTCATCACTAAATAAACCTTTTGATGATGTTTTTGAGGAGCCCTCTTCTACTGCAGTTAAAGAGCTTGTAACGAATAAGGACAATGACACATCAGAAACCCGACAACTTGATGTAGTGGTAATGTCTGACCTAGAAACTGCGGATAGTCAATCAATGGTCCTCCGGCCAGTGCGCACAAAGAAGCATAGGCAGAGCGAAATGACACATGAGGGAGATGATGACTGGGAAGTCCTTACGTATCAGCGAGGATTTCTTGCAGATGTTTCAGTTGCTAAGGGTGACTGCTCTGTTAGAACAAAACAGAAGCCTAACTATTCATATTTGCTGGGGGAAGCCCCTTTTGGAGATACAGCAGCTGTAGCAGTGGGACTGAAGGTTTCTGCTGCCGGACCAATCGAAAAAATCAAATTTAAGGAGGTCCTGAAACGCAAAGGTGGTCTACAGGAATATCTAAGTTGCAGGTCAGTTAGTTTCTTTTTTTCCGAGGAGTATGGAATTTTTTTACTACATCTGTTATGATACTTTTCAACATCTCATGTGGTTAAGTAAAATTATTTAGTTGCATCTTGGTTTTACATAGTTCCTTGATTTTCATATTGTTGTAAACTTTTTCTTTGTTGACATATCACTCATTTTGCTGTTTTCTCTTTCAGTTCTTAAGCAATGACCAGCATTGTTTTAACTCATTTCAGTAGATATACTTTTGTCTATGTTAAATAGGCATAGTACAAAATAGGATTATTTCATTAGCAAAAGTTCCGTGAAAATCCCTTTTGTACTGGCCAAATATAATTTGGATCCTACAAGTTTTGAAGTCATCACTGGAAGTCCTAACATTTTACTTCGTTATCTCTCTTGGTCCCTTTTTAAAAATTTCCATTAAATATTGCTGACATGTCAGTGACGTGGCAGCAAAAACTTACAATTCCACTATTTTTCGCTAACTGGGTTCCCTCCTCTTTCTTCTTGCTGATCTATTTGGGGGACAGTAAAGAGATGTTTCCAGTCTAGTCAGCAAGCAAAGACAAGGAAGGGTGTCCAGTCAAAAAATTAGTGAATTACAAGTTTGTTTTGCCACATCAACAGGATTTTACGGAAGTTTGTGAAGGATCTCATCTAGTTACGAAAGTAATGTTAGGGAATTCCACCGATGACTTCCAAACTTACTCAAATGATATTTGGCCAATGCATGAGGGATCTTTACTAAAGTTTTGCCTTCATATGTGTGTGTGTACGAATCTTGAAACTTCAGGATGCAACGGTAACAAAGTTATATATGTGTTTGAGTTAAAGTTCTTTTACTGAAGCTTTGTATCCTGAATGAAGTGGATAGAAATGGGTAAGATGACTTGTTACAATTAGCATTAATCTCTTTTTTGATATTAAGTTATCACTGAATCTATCATCAAATTTGATGGGACAGCTGAGAGAAGAATGAGAAGAAAAAGAGCAGATTAGACCACATAGTGAACAGGAAGTTAATAAGAGAGAAAAATACGCGGATCTCTTTCTGGGTTGGTAGTATAATGCTAACTATTCATGCAAGCATTAACCACAAACCTTTTTAGTTGACATTTTAAGAAGTGCTGGAGTTGTGAATGGATCCAGAACTTGATATGGGAAAGCCACAATCTGGGGGTAGATTGAGAGGAAACATATCATGATGAATAATGAAAATGGGAGGGTTAGATGTATTATAGGTTCAGCTTGTATACCAAATATTGGAGTACCCATGGGAGGGAAAGTGCTTTAGAAATTTCAAAGGAAAAGATAAGAGAATAGAAGAAGGGAACCGACATGTAATCATGTGCAATCCGCATATACACATCACAAACTTGAATTTGAGCTGGTTCAAGATAGTGAACTTGATGATGACCTCTTTGTTTTTCTTGAAGTCATTATAGATTGAAGTTCTGATTTGAACAATTTCTTGAAATTCTGATATGTTGGTAATTGGTCCTTGTTTTTATATTTTGAGTTGTTTAAGTTTTAAATATTTACTTGAGAATATTTATGAATTTTTTAAATATTTGAATAGATTAGTTTTAGATATATTCTAATATATGGTTAGACAAGACATTTAGTAGGAACTTCAATGAGTGAGAATTTTCTTTGCACACTTGTTTTCACAACTGGAGGGATAAGAGTCTTCTCAACTAGTCAATTGATTTTTCGTTGAACCCTTATTAGACCTATTTTCCTATTTGTGGATTTGGAGTTTTAACTAAATTGAGCTTCTAATCTGATAAATTTCTTGAATTTTGATTTCATGGCTTTTCTTTCTTCATCCGTCTAAACTACTTTTTGTACTATAAATTATATATTTAAGAAAATTTTTGCTACATCCATCGCCTTATATATGTTAGCTTTGGAACAACAGTGTCAGTGAGGAAGAGAGAAGTGATGAATTGAGAGAGGGAGGGATATCTTAATCATTTTAATTTTGGTTCTTTGACGCTCTGTAAGCAGTTATGCTGAATGGAGTGGATTATCAATGGAATGATCAACCATTGGGTTTGGGTTGGTAAGAACTTTCTCTAAATCATTTCTGAATTGTTTATTATTTGGTACATCAAGAGCTCTGCCAACTTCCAAACTCGCGGTTAATTGTTTAGATTAGCAGGAGTCACCAACATCAGCTTGAAAGCAAACAGAAACTGTTAGAAATAGAAATATTCCCTGCAACACACCAGGGTGCATCCAGGGTAATGCTAATTCCAAAATTGCATAAAGCAGTAGGCCATCTGTTTTAAGACACTGTTCTTGTCTCAAATATCCATGTTTTGCCTACAGATATTGTGATTTAAATATGTGCCCTGTAATTGTATAAACCATGGTATGTTCTTCTTTGATCCATGTTTTATATCGAAAGCCATGTTCTTCTTTTAGAGAGTCAATGCTTTGGGGTTGGATTTACACTTCAATTCCTCCTACTTGGGTTAGCCGGATTTGCAACATGAGGGCATGGTCTCGGGAGCTATTTATAATGCCATTTGTTCTGTAAAATTTGATACATTAAGAGTAAGGGCTTTTATGAGTATACGTCTGAATTAAAAAAATAATAAAAAGAAATAAGAAATACAAGGAAAGACCTTGCAACATATATAAGTACAATCCACTTGGGGTAAACTGTCAACTTGTTATTTTCTTTGTTTTTATTGTCATTACATTCTTGCCGATTAGAAACTTTTTGATGGTTTGGTGTTAGCATTGTTATGTGATACGTGATAAATGATATGAATGGACTAGAGCTACCATATAGAATATGTGCACTAAAATTATATATGAAGCTGGCATTTGGACTAGAGCTACCACTTTTGATGGGATCACCTCATAATTAGAGAATGTAATTTGTGTTTTTTTAACTGGTTTTGCATTTGGATGCTATTTTATTTGACTTGCAATTTATGGAAATAATAATATAGGCAGAGATGATGTTCTCTTACAAGAGAAGTAGTATCATGAAATTCATATCTTCTCTTTTGCTTTTTTTCAGATGAAAAATGATTTTCTCCAATTTTTATTTGTAGTTCAATTGTATTTTCCCCATAATCATGTTCTACTTTGACATGTGGCTTCTTGACTGGATTGCAGTAGATGAATTATACATGTGTGTTTCTACAATGTATCACAGGAATTCAATCTTAGAACTTTGGAGTAAAGATGTAAAGCACGTATTGCATGCTGAAGACTGTGGTGTATCTAGTATTCCTGTTGAAGATGAATCCCCGCGGGAATCTCTTGTTCGGGAAATTTTTCTGTTTCTTGACAGCCACGTAAGTTATCTGTCTGGACCCTTTGTAAGTTTGATTGCTCATCAGTAGATATGTTGATTATTTGATTTTTGTTAGTCTATTACTATTTCCTTTTTATCTCAGCTTTCCTGACACACATTCTTCGGAATAAGTGATTTGCATCACCATATAGCTTGAAGCGAATGATTTCTCATCTTTAAGAATTACTTTTCTTAAATGCACCTGCTTCAATATCAGGATTGTTCTATGAGCCAGAAATCTGAATGTTAGGCAATTTATAAATGATGTCTAAGGAACGAGTTTACTAGAAACATGAATGTTGAGATGGATGAGTGGCAATACACTAAGGCCATGTTTGTTTTTTATTCCTGGACTAGGGGGTACTGTAATCCTCGGATTATAGGCCTCGGACTGTGTTATGCTGGGATTTTAATCCTGCCTGATATTTGTTTTCACATGGACTAATATTCGTACTAACTTAAAATAATCCAAACTAGTGTTTGTTTTTAGGGGGTTATGACTGGTCGGATTAAATATCCTAATCAGAATGACCTTTTTGTCATCAAGTCAACTAATATTGTATTAATGCATCTCATTGACAAAAATTTCAAAATAAATCTTAATTTTTCAGTAAATAATATATTCTGTATTGTCGTTGGATAATAAAAAAGTTGAGATCTTTTAGATTGCAGCAAGGCTTTCTTGATTTTATCCACTAACTTCTGAGCAAGTGCCAACAATCCAATAGTCTAGACCTCTTCAAAGCTGACTTTAACCTGCTAGTTTCTTCCTTTCGAAAATAAATCAGTGATTTGTGAATGGTATACAGTTCATTGGAATACCATTACCTACAACATATGGGATATTAGCATCCACCTCGGAGATGTGATGAGATAAATCAAAGGTTCTTTTTGGGGAAACAAAGATTAAGGACTAACCCGTGGAAACAGAAGTCACGGAAGATAATGCTGAAAAAAAAGTCTCAAGAAAAAAATGTGAAAAAAAGAAATAATGGTCCGATAGAATGAATTGAAAAAAGGAGGAATTAAAAAATATAGTGGTGTTTTTTTGTCAAGAAAGTCTTAATCCCCTTAAATAAATAATACCCGGATTGTAAAGGTGGGGGTAGGTGGGTTTATATTAGTTCCCCTTTTGGGTATTAATGAACCCCTCCTTAAAATAGTCCGGACTGGATAAAAAACAGACATGGACAAAAATGGTGGGTGTTTTAAAATAATACCCTCACTATTTAAAAAACAAACATAGGCTAAGAAAGGGTAATAGAATATTGTAAGAGATAAGAGTATAAGTGCATATATAGAAAGCTAGAAGTGATTTCTGTTGAGAATAATTTGAGGCAAATCAGATTTTGCGCATGCAAAAAGCAGCGAGAAAATTCTAGCAAGGAGTTGAAAGTGGAGGAACAATGACTATAGGTACTTAGATAAGCGAGCCTAAATGAAAATGGAGGCAACTGAAAGAGTACGGGAGTTGTCAAGTTAACTGATAATAGTCCTTAAGAGATCTAAACAGAAAAAAGATTCATTGGGATATTTAATTATGAAATAGAAATTTTTATTTGCAGTATTCTCTTCTTGATTTTAGAGCACTGTATCCTGAAAGCTATGAAGTTGAACTCCTAACAAGCTCCTTGCAGGGTTATATAAATGCAGGAATTGCTTCAGAACAGGAAAAGCCACAACCTGGTAATTTGTTCCAGTCTGTGCTTTTGAAGGAATCCAATTCTAAGGAAACTACTGGCGAAACAGTTAGTTGTGTTGGTGAATGCCCTCCATTTCTTGCTCAGAATACAGTATCTCAAACAATTGCCTTGATGAAGGATCCTACATCTCTTGAGGTTCCCGAGGCTGCATCATTGCTTCAGACAGATGGTGGTAAAATTGGGAAGCTTACTGCACAAGGTGTAGAATTAGAGTTATCTGCACAGGTTAAATCTGAAGACCATGCAACTGATAGCATTGAAGTGGACATGCAGCCTGTTTCAATGTCGATAATACAATTACCTAATGGCAATTCTGATGAGAATAATGTGCGCAATAGTGTGGAAAGCCATACAAATAGTGCATATCGTGACCATGGGATATGCCCAAATGGGATTGAGAGGAGTAACGCTCAAGAACAAGGTAGTCTGTTTACACCCACTATTCCTAGTACTGATCCCATTGCCAATAGAGATTTCGGGCCAAGTCCTTTTGATTCTCTGAAGCCGATGGAAGCCACCCAAAGTTCTCATCATCCATTTCGTAACAGAGGAAGAGAGTGTGCTATCACAGAAAGGCGCTATTAACAGACAATCCTTTTCAGCAAATTGCGATACTTCTTGGGAATTAGATGATCGCAAGAGAGTAATCATTGTTGGGGCTGGACCTGCTGGCTTAACAGCAGCACGGCATTTGCAACGTCAAGGTTTTTCTGTCATGGTGCTTGAGGCTCGAGATAGGATAGGTGGTCGTGTATATACTGATAGGTCATCGCTTTCAGTTCCTGTAGATCTTGGTGCCAGCATAATTACTGGTGTCGAGGCTGATGTTGCTACTGAAAGAAGGCCTGACCCCTCCTCTCTCATATGCAATCAGTTAGGTCTTGAGTTGACAGTTTTGAACAGTGATTGTCCTCTCTATGACATAATCACAGGTCACAAAGTGCCTGCTGACTTGGATGAAGCTCTGGAAGCAGAATATAATAGTCTTCTTGATGACATGGTCCCATTTATTTCTAAAAATGGTGAAAATGCAAGGAAGATGTCACTTGAGGATGGATTAGAATATGCTCTTAGGAGACGTCGTATGGCTCTCTCCGCATCAGCTGCTGCAGAACCTGATCATTCCACCTCAGTTTGTCAAACCATAGATGCTTGGCTTAGTGATTCAGGTGATATTACAATGTTAAATGGCACGTATGATACTCTGAGAACAGAAGTATTGAGTCCTCTTGAAAGGAGAGTAATGGATTGGCACTTTGCGAACTTGGAGTATGGATGTGCTGCTCTGCTCAAAGAAGTATCTCTTCCATTTTGGAATCAGGATGATATTTATGGAGGATTCGGTGGACCTCATTGTATGATAAAAGGAGGTTACAGCACTGTGCTAGAAAGTTTAGCAAAGGGACTTAATGTTCATTTGAACCATGTAGTTACTGAAGTTGCCTATTGCATGGAGTCTGATGGAAGAGGCCAGCAGAAAAATAAAGTGAAAGTATGCACATCAAATCAGAGTTATTTTGTTGGAGATGCTGTCTTGATCACTGTGCCACTCGGTTGTCTAAAGGCGAACACCATTAAGTTCTCTCCAGTTCTTCCAGACTGGAAAGAGTCCTCCATTAAGAGGCTTGGTTTTGGCGTGCTGAACAAAGTGGTCCTGGAGTTTCCTGAAGTTTTTTGGGATGATTCTGTAGATTACTTTGGAGCTACTGCCGAAGAAACTGGTAGCAGAGGCCAATGTTTTATGTTCTGGAATGTCAAAAAGACAGTTGGTGCACCTGTTCTTATAGCACTTGTGGTTGGTAAGGCAGCTATAGATGGACAAACAATGAGCAAGTCTGCTCATGTGAATCATGCTCTGAAAGTTCTCCGTAAGCTTTTTGGTGAATTTTCTGTACCTGATCCAGTGGCATCTGTTGTCACAAATTGGGGTATTGATCCTTTTAGTAGGGGTGCATACTCTTATGTTGCTGTTGGAGCTTCAGGGGTTGACTATGACATTTTGGGGAAACCTGTTGAGAACTGTTTGTTTTTTGCTGGTGAAGCAACCTGCAAAGAGCATCCAGATACTGTTGGTGGTGCAATGATGAGTGGTCTTCGAGAAGCCGTACGTATTATTCACATCTTAACCACTGGAAATGATTATGCAGCAGAGATTGAGGCTATGGAAGCTATACAGAGACAGTCAGATAGCGGAAGGACTGAACTCAAGGATATGTCAAAAAGACTTGAAGCATGCAAGTCCACCGATATTCTTCCTAAACACTTGTCAGATGGAACACATGCGTCGTTCCCTAAGGAAGCTTTACTGAGGGACATGTTTCCCAATGCAAAGACAACATCTGGACGATTACATCTGGCTAAAGAAATGTTACGTCTTCCTGTTGAAGCTCTTAAATTATTTGCTGGTACTAAAGAAGGGCTAAGTACACTCAATTCTTGGATACTTGTAAGTTGATTCTACTTCTTGGTGTATGCTCAATATTTGATCATGGATTTTATGTTCCAGTTTTGCAATTTGGAATGAGTATATCTAACATCGTTACATGCCATTGTTAATCAGGATTCTTTGGGGAAAAATGCCACCCAGCTCTTACGTCATTGTGTCCGTTTACTTGTCCTTGTGTCAACTGATCTGCTGGCTGTTCGTTTATCTGGTAGGCATTTTCTAGCTTTATTTTGAATTAGTTCTTCTTGAAAGTCATACATAACATATATGTGATGAGCTGACATCAATTTTCAAATTAACGTTATTGACCTGCAACTAATACTCTTAATGTCTCGTCTCTTTTGAGTAAAAAACTGTAAATTTCCTTGTGCTGCTTTTTCTTTCTTTCTGAAAGAGCATGCGATGTGACATAATTTACTTTTAATTCTTTATTTGGAGATTTATCTTTTAGATAGTGTTGTCATGCATGGCCTTATATTGGTTGGCGGAGACCTACTTCTGTTTACAATTGCAAATATTTCTTGTCCTTAATTTGTTCTTTTCCTTTTGTGTATGTAAACAGTAGGAATTGATATTAATGACATGCTTTGTTTTTTGTTAGCTATCATCATCGTCATTGTTATCATGCAAGTTTGACCCCTCCATGCGGGTTTGGATGGTCAAAACGATTTTTTTCAACCTGGCATCTGAGTTTTTTGTTGAGGTTTTAAGCAAAGAGCATGTAGGAATAAATGTCTCATTAATTAATCATTGGTTGGGTGCCAATGATAGAGGGCATGCAATTTAAGCTAATATAATCAAGCCACAACCTTTCAGCTTTTCTCCTTGACAGGGAAAAGTCTGGGCGAATAAGGGATGATGACCTGGTTTATTAATTAGATTAAAATCCCCTCAGGCGCAAGTTGACCAAACTGAAGTACAACCTCATAAGTTTATCTTCATGATGCCTGCTAGGTATGGTTTGAAATTAGTTTGACATGGTGACATCATAATTAATAGAAGGCGATGTTGCTGTTGGGCATAGTTATATTACTTTTAATAGTGCATCTGCGCACTTAAAAGTTGCTTGGTATGAGTAGCTGTACACGTAAAAGCTGCTCGATAAGCAGTTAATCAAATATATGAGGATGACAGGCTGAAAATTGCCCATTCTAGTATTCCAAAAGTACCATGCATTGTTGAGCCCACCTTTTAATTTCCATACAGGCCCATTAGCGAGTAATGAAAATGGATCAAAGTGGTCCTTCTATTTATGTTGGTTCAGGCACACAATAACTACTACATCTGTACTGGATATATGTGCAGCCCACATCAGCTCTTTTGGAAAAGGACTCGAAGTCAGGAGTTGGATTAAGTTACATAAGGGGGGTTCTTAAGCAGCCTCAGTTATATCTGTTTGGTGGCTTTCATATGCTAGCCTATCAACCACTAGTATATCGCCCAAAACTAAAGGAGGGCAGAAGAAATTTCTGGACAGTCTTTCTTTTTCGTCGTATGAGTAGGCTTCACTCAAGTACTAGACTTAAGAAGTAGATTTTGGGACTTCGGATGATAATGATGGTTTTCCAGGTCATGTTTACTGAAGTCAGAGTTTATCATTTCTTCTCACCATTTTCCATGTTATTTTCTTCTCTTGGTTCCTATCACTTTTGTAAACAAGTTAATGATCTGTGCCTTCAGAATTCATCATTGTGCAGTACTTTCTGCTAGCTAATGGTTTCCGGATATGATATGAATAATCTTCCGTACAAATATTAACGTTATAAAACCCTACAATTCTTGGTTATAAAATCAACCAGCTGCATTCAAGTGGAGCAAGTAAAACTTATATCACTCGAAGGATCAAATTTACGTCATCTTCTATGATAACTTTTTTGTGTGAGTATTCTTTTTTTGTTTTTTTTTTTGTGAATGGGTGTGTGTGTGTGTGTGTGTGTGTGTGTGTGTTGGTTAAAAGATGAATATGCTGAGTTGACAATCCTGTGTTTTAAAAAAGTGATATGGTGTAGTCATGCAGACTGCACCTTTAAGAAAATCATTCCTTCAAACTATTTGACATCATTAATGTAAGAGAACCTTTCAGTCACCAAGGCATATATATGACTGTTCACTTTTTGGTCACGAGTTGTGTGGACTTCTAATTTCCAGATGCTCAGCAAATATCACGCTTGAAAGATGAATACCTAGTGAAAAGTGGCAAAGAAAGGATGTAACTGTAGAGAAGAGAGTAGAGAAAATAGAGAAGGCAACGTTATTATTCCATCTGACCCTAACCTCTCTTAAATTGAGATTAGAATGATATTACAAAATAGGTATGATATAAAATCATATCTCAACAGTATCTCATAATATCTAATATTCACTAAATCTATTATTATCAATAGTATCTACCACTCCTCAATTATAATTGGGAAAAAACATCTAATTGCAAGAGCGATTTTGTCATCTTTGAGCGAAATACTTGAAGACGTTAGCAATCAGGATTAGACAGTAGAAATTCTAGATGGGTAAGTAAGTAGAAACATTAGGCGGATAAGCCAGTATTAACCCGTGGCGGGTAACCTAGTAGTACCCATAGAGAAGAAAAAAGAAAATGCATGATTGGTCCGTTGCTCGCTCGCTCAATCTTGATTTTGACTACTTTTATGGGAAATATGATAATATGAATGCACCTTGCTAAAAAAAAAGAACAGTGAAGTTTTCGACTGAAGAAGGATCAGACGCTGAACAGGGGATCACGAGGAAGATGGTTGGGCGGGAGCATTGCTCACAATAAACAGTACCGTCCATACTGTTCATTGAGGAACAATATGCGTTGGGGTTTTTTTTCTTGAGGTTCAATGAAGACTTTAGAAATCGATCGAAGAAGGTAGAGATGTTGTCGAAGTCAAAGATGTCGAAGCGGAAGTTATTGAAGCTGAACTTGTCGCCGAAGATGTTATCGAAGCCGAAGGTACCTTTGACACTGTTCATTGATGAACAACACGTGTTAGGGGTTTTTGTTGAGGTTCAATGAAGACTTAGGAATCGGTCGTAGAAGGTAGAGATGTTGTCGAAGTCAAAGATGTCGAAGCCGAACTTGTCGAAGCTGAATATGTTGTCAAAACCGATGTTGTTCTTAGCCAAAGATATTGTCGACGCCACTGTGGGGAAGCATAAAGTCGGCAAATTTAGCAAATTCCCCACGGCGGCATGATATCTAGAGAAAAAGGAGAGGACCAAGTAGTGTTATCGATGCGCAAGGCGCAATGTGGGACGCAAAGGTCCCTTACACGCACCATACGCAAGGCGCACAACGATGCGCGTGCCTCACTTAATTGAGGCGCACAACTCAAACTAATATTTTTCAACATAAGACAAGCATATAAGCAACATGTTTATAAATTGTCATATAAAAAGACTAAGAAATATAATTTCACCTACTAAATCACGAAAGAGTCTTAATTAGCATGCATAACATAGAGAAGTTTATAAGTTTCTACAAATCACAAACTGCATTTTCACAAACTGCAGTTTATAAGTTTCTACTAATTCATGAGTGATGCCAACTATATGAAGAATATCTTTTTGATGTTCATTGACAGCAGGATCTGTTCCCCTGCACAAACTGCAAACTCTCATGACGTTTAACTGTATACAATCTACTGATTAAATGTCTAATGATATGTTTATTGCTATTTAGAAGTTCAAGCTATTGAACCAGATAGAAGTTCAAGCTATTTTGTCATTCTAAATGAGTAATAATATAGAAGCGAGTTCCATATATTCTTAGGTGAACAACTGGAAAGCAGATAAGCTTATATAGTTTATTGCCAAGTGGGAGTAATTGTAGGTGCAATTTTTATTTAGTGGTATGGTATATTATTTTATGCAGATGGATAGATTTTACATTAAACGTGAAAAATATCAGTGCAATGCAAGGTTGTGTTAAAAGAGTTCTGAAAAGATATCAGGTCTTTTAAGCCAGCAATCCAAGGAAACTCTTTGATGACATATCTCAGTATTGGCTTTCTGGATAACATGTAAATTAAATTATATCCTAGAAGACATGTAGTTCATAAAATAGCCATGATGAAATTTCTTTGTTTGAGGAATTGGAATAGATCTAGTGCTTATCTAAAGCAGAAACGTATTCAACATTAGAGGAGTGGAACATAAAGGATGTCAAAATGCTTTAACTACAGTTCCAACGTGCTTGTGTATGAATAAATCAGGGAGTTGAAAATTTCAGTAATAATGTGTACATCTGAGAATGGAAAACTTCATCTATACAGTCTTTAATGAGAAATGTTTAATAGTGTTCATCTTTTACTAAAAGCGTGTGATTGTTGTTTTCTGCACATAATATGTACTGAATCACGATTTTGGCTTGTTTCTTAAATTGGATGATACGTTGTCTGATTGTCAACTATTGGGTAGAATTCCAACCACACTATAGATCTTCATAACTATGAATTAACTTGGTTTTTTTAATAACATTTTAAATATTTAAGACCGGAGCTCTTATTTGGGGCTTCAGGTAACTGATGGTATAAGTAAAATTAAGACTTCCAAGTGAGCACCATTTATTTTGTTAAGGGTTAAACGTTCGAATCTCTTTCATCATTTGGCTATGGGATTTTCAAATTAATATGCAGGGGGCATAAGTGCTGACTGATCGCATGCAGATTTGAGTCTAGGTCACAAGATGGGACACATGATGATAACAAGCTATTTCTTTCTCCATAAGTGTGCTCTTCTGTTCCAGTCTGGGGGACTTTCTGTCTGCGTTCATAGGAGCGTCTACGATAAAAGCCTATGTGACTCTCAGGAACAAAAAAATGTAAAATCTATGATTTGCATGGTTGTGTGGATCGTCTACAAAACAGATTGTGAAGCTGCTTGGGCTTTGGGCTGCTTAAGACAGAGATAAATAAATTCAATTTATACACAGACCCAATAAAATGGTTACTTGACAAGCTCAAATAAATTTAAATATAGAAGCTATTATAGTGCTTCAAGAAAATGGATGTAGCATCTAGACTAGTGACATGTTCATTAGGAAGATTAATACATAAGACAACTTTGTGTTCTACATCCAGGTAACAAATTATTGAAATAGAGCTTCAAAGTTCTCGGTATTCAATCAAGAATTTTGTCTCCAGAAATGTACATGCTTGGAGATTAGAAAACTTCAACTTGGTTATCTACTATCTAGTCTCTAACTAGAAACACACCAAAGTGACATTTATCTTGTCGTGAAAGGTTATTAATTCACCCTTTTCTCATGCATAGCATGTGATAGATGATGGTTAAGCGATCACAAACTTTCATTTGGGGTTTCATAACAATGCACTTATAGGGATGAAATTTTGTTTTAGGCTTGAAAGTTTGAAACTAATAAACAAACATGAAAAGTGCATTCTGGAGCATCTAACTGTGTAGTAACTTGCTACAATGTTGAGGACACGTGTGAAAATCGAAGTCTTGGTTCTTATGCCATTCAGGTGTTAAACATGGTAAATATGTTAAACATTATATTTAATGGGTCGACTTCTTAACCTATATGGTGTATGCAAGGTTTTAAATATTTGGATATCGGGGATATATTGGATGACCAAAATCCATGCCGGATTGTGAATATCATGGAAATATTGGGGATATATAGCAAATATCAAAGTGTCATATCAAATGATGCACATGTATAATATCAATGTTACAAAAAGCGCTAGATGCCTAGAGCCTAGACTCCTAGGTTGGAGCGAATTCTAGGCCGTTTTCCTATTTTTATTTTTTAATTACAATAATTGATAGTGGATGTTAATGTTATAGAAACTTTAGGCTCTAGATTGGCACATAAGCGGTTTTTTTTTTCATTTAAGTAGTGGTGATAGAGGTTTTGTTGACGGTTGGAGGCAGTAGAGGTGTTCCTATTTGGAGGCTGGAGGAGTTAAGAGGTGAGAGGACAAGGAGGCTGTAATGGAGGAAATTACGATCAAAGTCTAAAGGATGCAGTCTATGTAGGCAGATCACGCTCCTCTAAGCGCTCCTAGAGCCTAATTTGGCAGCCTAGGTACCAGCTAGGCGCTAGACGGACTGCCTAGGTACCTCCTAGGTGTAGGCATACACCTAGGTGAGTTAGACGGAGGCTTTTTAAGTAATTGTGTAGTATATAGTGTACTAAAATTTAATCTAAACATAATGAAATCGTAAGCATAGAAAATATAAATAATATATGTTTAGGATCACTAACTAATTGTAGAAACTTACTTAGGGGGAAAAAGCCGGCTAGAGTTTTGCTAGGAAAGGATATAATTTTTGCTAAAAATATTAAAGAAATTTTGTAAAATTATATTGTTTTGCAACAGACCATATAAATGGACATTTTGGCAACATATCAGTCAACAAATCAGCCATATATCGGCCATGTTGGGGATATATTGCCCAAAAGTTGCTAAAAATTGGTAAAGGATACTGAGAGCATATCATTTTGCTAAAATCCTTAAAAAAGGATATATGGACCGGTATATCAGTTATGTCGGGGATATTTAAAACAATGGGTGCATGGTCCATTATGCCTTTATAGTATTGGGATTTAGAGACTTAGGATGAATTCTATTTATTTGGTTGGCTGTAGCCTGTAGGCTTGTTGCATTTACCCTAGCATGAAGCAATGGTTCTACAATTAAGAAAAAATTTATCAAATATTTTTTTGTATCCTCAATAAATTAGTTCATGTTATGAGGTTCTGTTTCATCAATTAACATCAAAAAGATATGAGGGAAAAACAGAAGAGGAAGAGCTATGAACCATGCATCTTCTCTAATCCGTTAGTATTTGTTACTGATGCTGATGACTGTCGCAGATACCATTTTTGTGGTTTTAAGGTTTTAATGATGCTGAGAAATCTGTAGCTAATGACGCTAATGCTATGCTATATTGCTCTCTCCATGATGCAGGCATAGGAAAAACAGTAAAAGAGAAAGTCTGTGTGCATACCAGTCGAGATATACGCGCTATAGCAAGCCAGCTGGTCAACATGTGGATTGAAGTTTTTCGCAAGGAAAAGGCTACTAATGGGGGGTTGAAATTATTGAAACAGACAGCAGCATCAGAATCCTCAAAGGGCCGACCCAAAGATCAAATTTCTGGACAGATGCGTTTGGCTAGTGATGTGGGAAACCATTCTACGAGACCAAGTATTAGAAAAACCGATAGCAAGACAGTGAGGCTAGAAACTTTGATAGACACAAAGTCTGAGGCTAACTCCTCATGTTTTCAGAGTTCAATTCAGGGCCATGATTCTAAGGTGGAAAGTGACGGGGTAATGTCTGAGGAAGAAGCTGCAGCTTTTGCTGCAGCTGAAGCTGCCCGTGCTGCTCTTGCAGCTGCTGAGGTAGTTGACAAATCCTCTTTACAACATTCCTATCTTAATTTAGCTTTTAATTATATGAAAAGTAATCAAACTGATATGATTTTGGTTGATCCTTCAGGCATTTGCATCTTCAGAAGCAGAGGTTGGTTCTTTGCGCGAACTTCCAAAGATACCGTCATTCCACAAGTTTGCTAGACGTGAACAATATGCGCAGATGGATGATTCTGACTCCAGAAGAAGATGGTCTGGTGGCATTCTGGGGAGACAGGATTGTATATCTGAAATAGACTCCAGAAACTGCAGGGTTAAAAATTGGTCTCTTGATTTTACTGCTACTTGTGTCAATATTGACAACTCAAAGATGTCCGGAGATAATTATACACAGGGGAGTAACTCAAATGAGATGGGCCCAGTGAGTTACAGAGAGCATTCAGGAGAAAGTGGTGCAATGGACAGCAGATTAACGAAGGCATGGGTTGATACAGATACTGCTGGGAGTGGAGGTGTTAAGGATTATCTTGCCATCGAGAGATGGCAATCACAAGCAATGGATGCAGATGCTGATTTTTACAGCCGTCTGCATTTAAGAGATGAAGAAGATTCAAACAGAAGTTGTAGGCCGCCCACGGTAAAAGATGGAAGACGGGCTGAAGAAAGTTCTGCTTCTCAAATTGCAGAGAAGAAATTATTAACAGAAGGCAATTCCAGGGGAGTTGAGCATATTAAACAAGGCATTGTGGATTATGTGGCATCCCTGCTTATGCCTTTATACAAAAATAGGAAGATCGATAAAGATGGTTACAAGTCAATAATGAAGAAAACTGCAACTAAGGTATGATACTTTTCCGTGGCCCTATAAGAAGTCAATAAGGTTCTGGTCATATGCACATTTCTTGGCCTAGTCTCGTGATTGCTTTGACTTTTATGTGTTGTGTATAAATCATAAGCCACTCTTCTTCTTTTCTAGTTTTACTACACCAATGTTATTACTGTCATCCAATCAATTCTGGTTTGCAAATTTCGTATGCTATGATCACATTAATGAGCTAATTCACCACAAGACAGTTGCCTCCATGAAGTTGATCTGCAGCAAATACAATTTAAATTAAGTAGTTCCTTGTTGATGACTGAGGTTTTAACTAGGTTCTATTTTCTTTATTTTTTCCTGGTGTATCAGGTTATGGAACAATGTACAGAAGCAGAAAAAAGGTTGACCATTCCTGAATTTCTTGATTTCAAACGGAAGAACAAGGTCAGCACCTTGTTTCTGATAGCAATTTCTACTCTCTTAAGTTAATTCTCAGTAACTGGCAAATTTTCTGCCCCACAAATCTGGAGTTTTATCCAACATCCATCTTTTACTTTGATGAAGTATGATTTCATTTACTTCTTTTTCTTGTGTATTATCTGTTGCAGATTCGAGCATTTGTGGACAAATTGATTGAAAGGCACTTGGCAACGACTTCCAGTGTGAAGCGTTAATGCTCCCGGGGGGTTGACTAGCAGCCAGTTTCAATAACCCAAATGCATGGTATTTGATGATGCCTACCTAATTCAAGATCTGAAGCATTATGAGCTCGTCTCAGCCGGTTGACAGTAACTCCAGAAAGTGACCATCAACATAAACCATCTATATGCCCTTTTCTTGCTGTTTGCAGGTAAGGCACATGAAGTTGCACCTGCGAAGATGATGCAGCATAAGCTGTCAAGCCAAACAGTTCATCCTTCAGTTGGAGCAGGACCGATTAGCATGGTTACAGCAAAGTTGTCAAAGAATATGCATCTCGGTCACTGAAAGAAGACTCCTTTTAAGTTTTGGTGTTGTTTTCTTTCGAGTCCATTGGGATCTAAAGGGGATGCTGAAGAGGTTAGAAACTTAATCAAGATGTATAGACATGATAACCAGCTAGTCGTTTTGAAATAGCAATAGACATCATGTCAATTTAAAGATGAATGAATTGACATGAAATTGTTCTATTTGTCCTCGAAGAACTTGTAATTGTAGGTTACAGATTGACCCTATTCTTTGTTCAGGGATCTCTTGCATTGATACTGAGTCAAGTTTTTAGTCTTTGTACAGTGTATTTGGAATATTTTGATATCAAAGAGCTGACATCCTTGTCTTATAGCAAAATGTCTTATCTTTCTAGTTTCAAATGTGAAGAGGTATATAGTTTTTGTTTGTCTCTGCATATACTACTTTTGTGCTACCTTATTTTGTTTAAGATAATGATACAGATGGTCACCGTTAGAGAAGTCTTTAAAAGGTAAAGAGGCTACAGCAGCTTTTATATTATGCTTCTTTCTCTTCCTTTATGCAAATTCAATGCGTGGAATTGCTGCTTATATTTCTGTGTAATATAGAGTTTATTTTTTTTAAAGCAATGTTTAGAAATAGTTTAGTGACGTTGAGTTTTTCATCTTTAGCTTATTTGATAATAGAAACTTAGGTTTCTCTATGCAGCAAAATACTGAAGCTACTGACTACTGTATCCATAAGTGATATGTTTTAGGTTATCATACGCAGTTCTGGTTCATCGCATGTCTTCCCGCCATTACATATCATATTCTCTTTTGTTAAGAGAAATATTTGCTGCAGATCCTGTAGTTAATATGCATCCATACTTTATACGATCCACCTGCTTCTGAGATACGTTGTTGGCATCTTTTTACAAGTTCTGTTTGATATCATAACTCTCTTGAAGTTTGTTTAGCTTTTTCTCCGATTTGTGACGAGGAAGGTGTTTCTGGATTTGTATGATTTCCAGTGTTCATGATATTTTGTTTTTTTCATCATTTATGTGGTTTCTTTGAGGGTAATATTGACTTTCTGCATCCTGCGGTAGCATCTATTTTTAACATTATCATCAGTAATGTAGTAAGTATATGTTTCTTAATCTGGTCTACTTTTGACATCATGATGATGATTAAGTATTTGCTTCTTATGGTGCAGATGAGTTGGCACTGCTGTTAGCTTCGCTTGATGCTAGGAGGCATAGATTAATGTAAATTTTGTTACTAGTATGAATTGTTTAGTCTCCCATGTTCCAATTTAAAGTTTTATTTAATTGACTTGTTTTCTTGTGGAGGTCATGGCCAGAGGATTGGCTGGTGCGACTTTCTCTCTTGTGAGGAAGTTTTGTGGGAGGGAAAGAGAAGCAGCTCCCTAACCATCTCTTTCACGTAATAGTTGTTTATTTGCCATAGTTTCTAGTTCTTCGTTACGCTTATTCTCTATGTTAGTTGTGTTTCACTAGTTCGGATTGAGTGTTACTAGTTGGTTTGAACTCACTTACTAGTTTAATTCTTGGGTTCTATAAGCTAGAGTGTTTACATTTAATTTGAGTCTACTATTTTCCTGTCTTCAGCTTCGGAGTATTGATTTGATATTCATCAGATTTGTCCTTTTTCATATCAGGAGACTTGCTGATCAGGTGCAAAGAAGCGCAACCAAATGCAAAATGAAACCCAGGTAGCAACCAATGTGTTTCTTTCTGTTGTCTTCTTCCTTGGATGAAATTTCTTTTAGGGTAGCGGATTGTATTCTATATCAGCAAAAGGGAGTTATTCTTATGTAATACCATGAGTCCATGAAGAATATCTTGCTAGTTTATGGCTAGCTGCTGCAGTACTAGCCTCCCTTTCGAAAAAATGATACTGGGAGAGGTTGTATTTTGAAGTTTCGTATGATTTGCAAGTTCTCACGATCAAAAACAGATCTATTGAACCTGAAACGGTGTCTCCCGGTAAGTTACTAGTGTTACCGCACCTTAAACTCCTTTTTTTTTTGGATTGTGCATTCTATGGGGATTTTTGGAACACTGCAAAGGGTTGTTTTGTTGTCTCCCAGAATTTATAGGAGAGCAAAATTGCAAAATTTCATTTTCAAGTATTTCTAAGGGTTTTTTAGAATTAACATTTTCTTGTTTGTTTCACCTTTAGGGGCTATTTGGTTTGTTGCAAAAATAAATTGCAGCAAATGTTGCATGCATCATTTATTTATTGTAGGAAATCAACTTTAAATTCGTTTTGTTTCACCTTTAAAGAATTCGTGGTATTAGAAAATGGAGAGAGAGAGATTGATTGGTTTATTCCCTTCACGAAAGGCTTGTTTGGATTTCGTGGTGAAGGGAAGTTAAGGGAATATAGGAGAAGTTAAGTTGAAGGAAGGTAAGCGAGCATGTAAAACTTGTTTGAGTAAGGTGAATTAAGGGGAATTTATTTCACTCCGTGCGGGAATTTTAATAAAGTGAAGGGAAGGGAAGGGAATATAAGTAAAATTATGACAAAAACATCACATGCTATTAAGTCATTTTATTGTTAGAAATGAGATAGAGGGTAAAATAATTTCTCCATAATTATTTTTATTTTAGACGTTCCCTTCACGGCATTCATTAACACTGCAAGTTTTTTTTTTTTGGGATTCTGGGGGGGGGGGGGGGGGGGGGGGGGGGGGGCACAAAACTTAAAAACTCCGCTCCTCGACCTTAGCATTCTTTCCCATTACCTATCATAAGTTCATTCCCAAACATGGATGAAGTGTCCCATAACTTCTACCCCCTCATTACCCCCAATCCAAACAAGCCTTAATATTTCGATCCACAAAATGCTTTCCCCATCCATTCACTTAGTTTTTCTCCCCTCCTTGACTTTACATTCTTCCCCATTCTCAAACAAGGATATAGTGTTTCATTCCAACAAAACACTTTCCCCATCCCTTCCAAGCTAAAAGTAGGAAATGAGTTTCCAAGAAACTAACCACTTTCACTAAATCTATTTCCCAAAAATTAGAAAAGGATGTAAGATAATCTCTTCCCAAGTCCTCAATGAGAAGGACTAAGAGGCTGTTTGGTTTCCTGCAAAAATAAATTGAAGCGAATATTGCAGCACCATATGTTGAATGCAATATTTATTGCAAGAAATCAATTTTAATTCATTATTTCGATATCTACAATTATATTGTAAATGTATTTCTAATGCATACTTGGTGTTTGGTTGAAAAACAATTAGTGTAAAAGCTACATAATTTTGTCATATAAGTAGATGATTTTCTGTTTGGATTTAAAAGATTATTTTGATGAGCTAGAATTATTTATATTTTTAAAATTTTTGTTTTGGAAGCTTATAGTTTTTCCTCCCACCAAATTAGTCATAGCATTTGTTACAATCTTTTTCATATAAAATGTAAGTCCACTTAACCTTCCTAGTTACAAAGTTACAAATCAAACAATGTAGTTACAAATCTCGTTATTCTATTTACTTTTGCAACTCTATTTTTATCCACCCAAAAAGCCCCTGAGTGTTGTGTATTGAAACTACTATATGCATAGGGGTGTCCAAAAAGCCCGCCGGCCCGGGCCCGGCCCGGAGCCCGGCCCGGGCCGTGGCGCCGGCCGGCCGGCGAGCCTCAGGCCTGGAAACCGCCGGGCCCAGAGTCCGGGCTCCGGGCGGCGGCCGCGGGCCGCCTTTTGTGGGGCCCGGCCCGGGGCCGCGCGGTCGGCGGAATAGTATTTTTTTATTTTTTTTTATTTTTTTATAAGTATTATATATGTATACCATATATGTATAATAATATATTTTTTATATATGTATAATATATGTATATATTATATAATATATAGTATATATATATATATTATATATATATATATATATAATATGATATATAATATGTATATTTAATTATATTTCTATATGTATGTATAATATGTGTGTGTATAATATACTCTCTGATCTATATATGTATAATGTATGTATGTATGTTATAATATACTCTTTCTTATCTATACATGTATATAATAGTATACTCTCTCTTATAATATGTATTACTCTCATCTTATATATAGTATATATAGTGTATACGACTCTTTATATATTATAATAATGTGTGTGTATATTATATATCTCTCTCTTAGTATATATGTATATATAAGTATACTCCTCTCTATATATGTATGAATATGTGTTGTGTGTGTGTGTATACTCTCTCTACACTCAGTATATATGTATACTATAACAGTATACTGCTCTATATATGTATAGTCTCTCTATATATATGATATTCAAGTATACACTCCTCTATATATGTATAAATATATGTGTGTTATATTAATACTGCTCTTCTCTTGTAATATATGTATATATAAAGTATACTCTCTCTTATATATTGATTATAGCATATGTGTGGTGTGTATACTTCTCTCTCTTTAGTATATATGTATATGATAGTAATATAGTTAATCTCTCTATTATATGTATACTCTTTCTTATATAAGTATATATTAGGTATACACTCTTATCTTAATGTTAGAATATGTTACTCGCTCTTTAAAGGTATACTCTCTCTAATATGTATACTCCGACTCATATATAAGTATTAACTCCTTCAACTTATATATATGATATATGCATGTGTGTATACTCTCTCGTCTTAGTATATAAGTATAGTATATTACAAGGCTACTTGCTTCGCCTCATTGGCTCCAACGGACAATGGCTACTTATGCGATTTTCTCTCTCTCAAGTTATAAATTATAAATATATATAATATATTTACATATAATATATGTATATATAATATATATAATATATAGTTACATAATAATTTATAAGTATACACTAATACATAATTATATAAAATATAATAAATTTAAACTAATTTTTAGCATTTTTTATCAAAAAAAAAAGAAAATGAAAAAATTGAAAAAAATTCGGGCCGACCCGGAGCCCGGCCCGGTTGGGCCCGGCCCGGATGGACAGGCCTATATTAGGAAGTTAACTTCAAATTGTATATCTTTGTAGGAAATATATTTTCGAATCTAAAATCAATTGTTCGTTAGGTGCAAAAAGTGTTGGATTTGTATCTTTTTGTTGCAGGAAATGTCTTTTTATTGTGAGTTAAGGGCTTATTTGGTACATGGGTAAGTTGGGGTGATAAAGTTTACCTAGTTAAAGATTATCTCATCTTCGCTCATGTTTGTTATCCTTTTAAAACTTCAACAAGGATAAAGTTTAATCCTATATGAGGGCAAACTTTTAACCAAGTAAGGGGATAGGAGAAAAAGAGATAAAAAGCTGAGGCTTGGTTCATTTAAACATGTAGAATTATAAAATTCCCCTAAAAAGTTCTAAAAC